AAACTTGCATATTTTGTACCTGTGCCTGAAAAAAAAACAGGTATAGATTTTCCCACACTGCAGTCTACCTTGGGGGCTTATCTCCGAACACAGTACCTGCGCCATTCGCCCTACCATAGAGATATCTGGATCTGCCGCCCAAAACACATTACAGATTATATTATATACAAACCCTGTGGAGTTGACATATACGAATATGCAGTTACGTATTATCAAAAATTTGACAGTTCCGTGAGTAACGACCTAGGCAAAACAGGACCGCATATGAGTACATATTTAGTGCACATTTATGCGTTCAAACTTCTGTCAAAACTTGCGAAATGGGTTGACGAAAAGAAAAAAACTGGACATATGTCAATGCATGCAGAACTACCTAGCATTGGTTGCTTCGGCAGCACACTTCTGCTCCGTAATCAGTCCGCCACATCGAAACTTGCTTATACTGATGGAACCATCTGTCAACCAAAAGCCATCGACTGAGCGCCATCAAGGGACCTCCCATATATATGCGATTATTTTTTATGCAGCTGGCTCATCGTCCTATCTTTCCCCATGAAATGCGTGTGTACTTATGTCAGGAAAGGTAAGATTGCATTATATTATGATGATAACGGTTTTTTTCGTAAAAACGAATATCCCAATGATATTCACTGACCAATAGAACAGTTGTCTACTAGATGGGCAGATTACACTAAGCATGTTTGAAGGAGGATTAAGCAGTGTGTCCAAGTATTTGCAACGAATTGCAAGCCCGGTGTTGCTTATTTGGTGTAGTTTTTAGGCAGTCTGCACTAAAGTGAGCAGAAAAGGTGGCATAGAGTTGCGCAACTTATTTCGCATTTTGTAGATCTCACCAATAATTAGTGCGTAAACCAACCTAAAGCACATGTGAAGCGATGCCACCCATTCTCATTGTAAACCAAGAAAAATATCAGTTAAGTTGCAAGTGACCGGAATGTGTATTCCGGAATTTGCATGTAACTGAAATTTGTAGCATAATGTATGTTCACTGGAAACTCAGGGATTGAGCTCACCTGATGAGCGCCAATAATGGCGAAAACGGTGGTAAACTGTCGTGGAGTTTTCAGCAGACTACTCAGTGGCTTATTCTGTCTAGAAGGAAAAGACCTTGTTTTTATGAAACTTAAGCATGTATTCATTTACTACCTTAGGTAAACTGGTCATGGGTCTTCAAAAGTGGACATATACTATACGTCAAATCCGGCTATCTGGAGTTCCCATGGAAACAGCGACATACAAATAATTCTATGCTTTACACTTGAAGTTGGGTCTTCAAATGTGGACATATGCTATACGTCAAAGCCAGCTATCTGGAGTTCCCATGAAAACAGCGACTTACAAATAATTCTATGCTTTACACTTGAAGAGAAAATTAAAATTTTGTGGAGCTTAGACAACACGAACACCACAGTGAAACGGAGTGTAGTATGTCCGCCTCAAGCGGAAATATCAAGATCGTAATGCAAGAACAATTTCTTGTTTTCAATCTTTTGAATGACTCTCCCCTACGTGGAACGCTCAGCACCAGAGAATGTTTACCAAGAAACCAATGATGGTAAACAATGCACACAAAGGATTACGCTGGTAACTCAATCGTATGCTAATAAGCAGCTAACAGTGCCAAATAGGTTTGACAACTTTGGGAACTTGGATGAATATCGTCTGAAGGCATCCATATCGAACCCAGGTCCACTGGGGGCCCAAACTGAGAAACGATTGAGGATTAGTTCCCGTCAAACCTGGACTGTTCTGCTGATAAATATCGCCTGTTGATACAGTTTTCCGAAATCTTAGGGACCATAGGTTTCTTACCATAAAAATAGCATAGAATAACTGGCGACATTTTCACGGTTGTTAGGTTTCAGTAATGGCTATTTACCCACACGAGCTGCCTTAAGTTGCTGAGTACGCACCAGCTGACGAATGGCGGGATAACAGTTAGCTGTTTTGTTGGCAGATGAAGTAATATCTTCGTTGCGCGTTTGTACGTCTTTAACAGTTTAACTCACAAATAACAGTAGCGAGTCCGAAAATTTAGCAGCTAAATACTGTTACACGAAGGAAACCTCGCCAGAGTACCAACAATCACCGTCATGCTCACATCGCATGATGCAACTGAAGCAATGTCAATACAGTCCACGCATGACCAAGCAATGTGGTTAACCACATAAATGGGCGGTTTCAGCTGTGATCACTATCGGATTGCTATTCAAAAGCAGATGTTGGAATCATATTTGCTATGTACCAAAGTTACCATAATCGAAAAAAACAGCCCGATTTGTGGTAACGTCCGGTTACCATAGTATGGAAACACAGGTTTTCCGAGACTTCTAAACTGCTGCCATCGTGAGAGTTTAACTAAGGTTCCATCCTATTTAACCATTCTATTGTGGTTGAAACATTAAAATGATACTGTCGAAAACACAAATAGCTGAAAATCATCTCGCATGGTCTATTCATGGTGGGGATACACAGTGCAATGTAGCGTCTTGACAAACGGGTTGTCAGATCAAAGCCCGTAGCTATAATCCAAAAAACTGATTAAGGAGGTGAACAGTTTTTGAGAAATCTGCTTGGGGCTTAAAAGTAGTAGATGACCCGAGTTGATCACGTAAGTTTAAATGTTCCCAATCTACACGAATTATTGGATGAAGAGACACTAGTTCGCCATCTGATGCATGTGGAGTGCTTCAGGCTATAAATTCGTTAGGCAAAGTTAGAATTGAGCTTAATTTGGGACCAACCGCTTAATAACAAGGTATACAAACTTTAAATAACACTTATGGTTTCTGAAAGCAGTGCAAAGAAGAACCCCTGTCTATTGCTGCGCTGACTGCTCTCACAAAACCACAGTGAAATATCTGCTGCAGTAAGCTGTTTGAATACCTTAAAAGAACAAAATGTCAGTTAGGTTTGAGGCACTGCTATACTCCGACACTTGATTTCGTTCCTTCTAACGTCATAAATTGTGACAAGTGTGTTCAAGTTAGATCGCATCATTTTCATGTTGACTATCATCTTGGTCGTAGGCTTGTTCGCTGAGCAGGACAATTTGATTGCGAAGGTTTCATCACCAATCGAAGTGACATCATGAGTGCGTTATTGGGGGAGCGTAGTTGTGCGTAGCGATGGGTTAGCGTCATGCACAGAACATACCCTCGCTGAGATAGTGTAGGAGAGGAACATTCGCTTCACAAAATGACTTACTTTGGGTTAAGATATATAGTTGACTGGTATTGGATATGGATTAGTATGGATATGATTAATCCAGTCAAAGCTCGCAAATCGTGGATTAGCCACAAGCGGGTTGCTATGATCGGGTCTAATATATCATCAGCCTGCACCAGAGGTCGTTAGTTTACTTCTCAGGGATTCAATTTAATGCCACCAATTAGTGGTATATACGTAAACTATTTGATTCAAGAAAACTCATTGAAATAACATATTGAAAATATATCATTCAACAGTTTAATCCCAAATTGTTTACCATTTGGTACAGTGTAAGACTGGACCGCATAAAGCAATGTTGTCTACTAGTGACGCTGATATATTGCGTACACAAAAGCAGCGATCATGGCAGTTCCATTTGGTATAGTGTATGACTGGACCGCATAAGGCAATTTTGTCTATCAAGTGACGCTGATATATCGCGTACACAAAAGCAGCGATCATGGCAGTTTGAAATTGCATATGCCAACTGATCGACAAAGTTTAGGAGACAGCAAAAACCCAAATCAGCCAGAAGTAGCATCTTTCACAGTTGGTCGTGCGTCTGGCCAGCTGTAAATCATGACTAAATAATAAGGCTAGGGGGTGTCTTTTGACTTTAATTCATGAAGAGCGAAAACACTTTTTGAAGAAAGTCAAATATCATATGTAAGTTGGAGTATATATCACCCTCACTACAGTTACCGGGATGCCACTAGATCACCTATGAATGCCGGTACAGGCACCAGAGCAGAAAGTTTGGAGATCTCGAGATCTTGAGAATTGCAACAAGCCCTGTACATTACACTAGTGTGCTATTCAAAATAGACTAAACTGAAATGGAATTTAGGAAACTTAGAAGGCAAAAGACTCTCAGTGACATCCACCTTAAATTGCTAAAAGTGCTAAACCGCTTTTAATTTTCAAATGGTTCGAAACGGTCTCTACTTGATATATGATAATGTAGTTCTTGCTGTCTGTAACCTCCACCCTCTGTAGAGCAATTCCTTAAAATTTGCGGTGAATCGGAGTCATTGGTTCCAAAATCGATGTTGAAATTATGTTTGACCACGTCCACTGACATCATAGACTAGGCAGTTTTGTGAAATATACGTTCACTAAATGTTACAGAACAGTTTACCCTGCACACCGGTAAATTTTTTTGCAAATCATTCATTATTCACCTCACTCAGCGTGAGACAGTTAATGAGATTATTACTATTGATATCTAATTCTAAACGTCACGATGCTTAACTTCACTTGAGGCAGGATAGGAGGAACGCCTGTTATGTTTACTATGTGCGGACGGTGCTTTTTACTCTTTAGTTTATACGCCATTGTGCTATCGCCAGTTTCCACTAAAGTTAAGCACCAAAATATCATTGATAGCAGTTGCGTTACTGTCTAAAATAATGTGTCCGCAATTGGCGTTTGAATTTGCCGTTCCACGACTGACATGTCATTGTGTAGTTCACACGGTCTATCCGGATTAACACGCATTATCCACAATGGATAGAAATAAATTCAAATTACGTGATTCTACTCACAAAGAAGGAACACTATAAACCGCCAGATGAAAATCGAAAAACTCTGAAGGGCATATGTGGTATATATCAGACCATCGAAAATGCAGCATCAATTATGATTTATGCTTCACACTAATCCATTGTCCAAACGCACTCCCGCAATACTGTCACCTCCTAGGACACGGAGATGTCTAAACGGACGATATTGAAATTGAACCCCACTTTTGCTTAATCGAAGGAAAATACCTGTTGGTGGTGATTTTGGTAATAGTTTGTGGGTTCTTCATTGCTGACAGATCCGTGAAGTAGAGCAGTCTCAAGAAAGTGCTACATTTAGTTGCCTTTTTGAAGCGCCATGAAGCGCCAGTCTATAAGAAACAATAACACCGACTGAACGGCGTTGTTTGTATGCAGGCTGTATGTTACGTCTAGTCTATTCCATGGATTACCAGCGAGCCTGTCACACCAGTCTTTCATTTATACCCTACAAAGCTATAAACAAGAATGGATGAAGCATTCCATATCCTATTGTTATTCAATTGCCTTGTAGCTTGCCGTTTTGGTCACTTCATACTGAGTTTCAAGCTGTCATAGAAAGACGTCTGAGATTAAACCCTCCGTTCCAAATGAGTCACTTTATCACGACATCTCGTCCACAATAGCCTACTCATCAGGATATTAATCTAGCCCTAAAGGTAATCCAATGCAACAATGGGCCCTTTTCTAGCAATGTTCCTTGTCGGTTTTGTTTCAAATATTATTTTGCACCGCTTTTGTATCTCCTGCCCAAATGCAACGCCCTAGTGACGCAATTTATTGAGGACAGTGAATGTGAACGTAGAAAACAAGACAATCAACATGTTTGGATGCACAAAAAGAGATAAAATTTTAATAATTTTGTGATAGATCCACCCAAACAGTTTTTGCAGTAATGTGCCTACGGGAATTGTGTTTTAATATTGATTAAATGTTATAATCCACTGTTTATCTGCTAGATACTGCCAAAAGTGCTCCAGAAGCAACGTTTCGGGTGAAGGAGTTTATGTAGTTCATTCTGATGGCGCAGTGGACTGTTTTCACTTTAAATGATTCATCATTGATAAGTTGATAAAATGGCTTGTTTTGGTCAAAACTTTTCCCGATTCAACAGGAAAATGTAAAAAAAATAATATTGAGTGTTT